AACAACTTTTGCCGTTGCTCTACCAGTAACATTACATTGGATATCGCCGAAATGGGTCTCTCCTTCCCGTGAGTATTAATTTACTATATGAGCATCGCAGCTAAGGAAACTTGTTCGCATGTTGAGCAGCAGTCTAAACCATTGCCAGGAGTTGTGTCTCATCTTCAGGAAGGTTTAACATAATAGCTACTACAATAGTCCTGCCCCTTAGCCAAAACTGTATAATACTCCCTCCCTAGCTTCACTGAGTCTTTTCTCAATCCATAATCCTACACACAGCTTTAGATATTGAAAGTCATTTATTTATGTCAGTCAATTCCAGTATTTTAGGAGATTCCTGTGTATGTGATAGTATGATCCTTTGATCCTACATTGATCAAACTGCTCCTAGGGCACTCACTTTTCAAAATAATGGAATATTCAACATCACCTATACGCCATGTCTTGTTCAACTATGTGGAGTAAGTATTACTATTAAAGGAATAGTGTTGGGAATGGTTGGGATAAGTGCCACTTGAGAAGTCAAGTTATCAAGACAGCAACATGCTGGACAACATCAAACAAAATGTTTCCTGGTTAGCTCTAATGCTTGTATAAGCAGCTAGGTGAAAACTACATTGATTATTAGCTGGCTGAACAAGCCGCTATCTGTGTCCCTGTGTATATATACATAATGGAGGAAATGGGAAGCCAGGTGGAGATATAATTGACTGAGACAATACTGCAAGAGCATAAGTCCATAAATCGAAACCACTATGGAAATGCGCTGACTCATAAGTTCAAAACATGACATACGTGCAGTAAGCTATGAATAAAAACGGGCAACACGGCTAGTTCAGGAAATCTCGCCTTAAATTACGTAAAGTCACGAAAAATTATGACATAGGCGTAGGGGGAAAATGAATATTGGCGACATGTGTTCCTAATGACCGACAAGTTGTGGGGAACTTGTCACATGTACAATAATGTGTGTGTGTGTGTGTATATGAAAGGTGTAGCTAACTGCCTACATATCAGCATGCTGAAAACCTTAAAATACATTGTAAGAAAAAAAAACCATAATCTATGTAGTCCATGAGTCCAGGCTGAGCAAAAACCTACAGCACACAATATTTCAGGTACGTAAACAACTGTAGGTTTGGCTGTCACGATACCTTAGTAACCCAATAGAGGAAGACTATTCCAGGGTCAGAGGTCAGATCCATCTGGAAGCTCCGGCCAATGATCTCTGTAAGCAGAGTTGAGTAGAACGGAAAGTTGTCCAAAACAAAGGCTTTCCTGTACAGATGGGCCATTATTAAGTACGTACATAAGTGTGTATATACACCACAGTATACTCCTGTCAGACATTATGGGCATTTGCACGAGAATGCACATTTTGGATCATCACACTAATGTGTTCAACCACCTCTCCTATGTTTGTTTATCCTCGTGTGCCGTTCAGGTGCAACGCTAGTTCACTAGCCACATTGTGAGACGCGCACCTGTGCTGTATTCATGTATTCATGTAATGGTTTGAAACACGCCAACAAAGTGCATAGTGAAAGTGTTTGTACATTTAGTTTTATACAAATCCACGTGTAAAAGATTGTTGTCTTTGCAAAAAAGGAAGAGCTGCTCACTCATGTAATGTTGCAACAACAAGGTGAGGTAGGGAAAGCAAACTACACCATGAAAACTCTTTCCAAAGAAAGGAAGAGCTGCTCACTCATGTAATGTTACAACAACAAGGTGAGGTAGGGAAAGCAAAACTACACCATGAAAACTCTTTCCAAAAGAAAGGAATGAGCTGCTCACTCATGTAATGTTACAACAACAAGGTGAGGTAGGGGAAGCAAACTACACCATGAAAACTCTTTCCAAAGAAAGGAAGAGCTGCTCACTCATGTAATGTTACAACAACAAGGTGAGGTAGGGAAAGCAAACTACACCATGAAAACTCTTTCCAAAGAAAGGAAGAGCTGCTCACTCATGTAATGTTACAACAACAAGGTGAGGTAGGGGAAGCAAACTACACCATGAAAACTCTTTCCAAAAATAAGTATACAAGTGGAAAAAATCATTTCTTCAAAATGAAAGTGGGATATAGGGATGACTTGAAGTACCAAAAAGGAAGAAACAAACACCAAATTTGCACAAAGCCACATGACACCATCCCTATATCTTTGTCTCATATTAATCTTTGCTTATGAGCAATGAAACAAAGATATAGGGATGGTGTCCTGTGGCTTTGTGCATATTTGATGTGTAATGACCCCTTGTTTCTTCCTTTTTGGTGCCTCAAGTCATCCCTATATCCCACTTTCATTTTGAAGAAATGATTTTTCCACTTGTTTCCACTATTTTTAACAGCTTATGACAACACTGCATTTTCAGTCACTCTGATGTTCATGGCTATGTTGTAGAGATAACTGTTGAAAGCAGAAGCTAATGGACTGGGCACGCGTAACACGGCGCGGATTGCCAAGTTGCTCCTCGCAACAGCAAAACGCAAGCAAGCCAGTTACAAATGTGTACACTGACTTACAGAAGGCACTGAAGGATGAGAGTAGTTTTCTCTGCAGGCATCCAGTCCTGGCTTAGTCTCGTTCGTGGACCAGGTTTGCGAGACAAAATGCGCGCGCACCGCATTGGAAACGCCCTCCTCTGCGCATGCGGCTCACTGATGCTGAGTTAGCAGCAAATGGCGTTGTTCAGTGACTACCGAGGAAGAGCTCAACGATCTACCGTAGTGACTTGCGGCAAGAAACAAACGATCGCTTGATGTGCGTGCACACCTCCGTCAAATTCGGAGACGTTTTGTGAAAAAATCAACGTTTCAAGTGCTTCCGGTAAGGAGCTAGCGGGTCTGAAGAAGAAGAAGAAGAAGAAGATGAAGAATATGATGATGATGACACAAACATCGTGAAATCGCGTATGAGCGAATTCTCGCGTGGACGACTGAAGGTGCCTATGAGGTCTTGGGGGACATATATAGGTAGATATGGGCCCGTAGACTATTGCTAGTATGTTTTGAAGGCCTAGGGAGTGATTCTCACCGAGTTTTTAGTCGTTTTGTACGCGGATCACGTGAGATTTCACCCGTGTCGTCCCTATATAGAGAGTCTACCGACTCTCTGATATACCACAAAGTATACTCCTGTAAGACATTATGGGCATTTGCAGGAAAATGCAAATTTTGGATCATCACACTAATGTGTTCAACTACACCTCTCCTATGTTGTGTTTATCCTCGTGTACCGTTCAGGTGCAACGCTAGTTCACTAGCCACATGGTGAGACATGCACCTGCGCTGTATTCATTGAAATTGTGGTTTGAAACACGCCAACAAAGTGCATAGCGAAAGTGTTTGGACTTTTAGTTTATACAAATCCACGTGTAAAAGATTGTTGTAGTGAATGTGGAACTCTACTGTTTCTGGTTAAGACTCACTGAAAAAACACCTGCTATGAACCGGTGAGATGCAACAACAATGTGAGGTAGGGAAAGCAAACTACACCATGAAAACTCTTTCCAAGAAAGGAAGAGCTGCTCACTCATGTAATGTGACAACAACAAGGTGAGGTAGGGAAAGCAAACTATACCACCAGGAAAACTCTTTTCAAAAAAACATAAAAACACAGTGTAGAGGGATGATACACATGTACGTACACACAGTTTGGACAGGTGTATTATCATAATTGAAGGGCCGAGAAACAGATTGGTATATCCCAAAATTAAGAATGGCAAATTGCCTAAAGAGTGCAAAAATGGGGGAAAATAAGGGTAGGGTATAATACTTTAAAAAGTGAGATATATGAAATTTTGCAGAAGATTGTCTCCTTCCAAAACGCATTGTAATGGTAATTTCATGTCAAGGGGGTATAAATGATTTCACCAGGTCTTTTGCTGTGTTCACGTATTATTGTGGCCACCTGGGGTATTCTAATGGAGCAACAATTGGATTCTCCAGTAGTGATGCTAACCATCCGGCTACCCAGACAGATTCAGCCCAGTCCATTGCCTGTCTGAGTATTTTGGAATTCTCAACGAGCAAAGACAATCCATTTTACTATAAAACTTGAATTGATAAGTAAGTTAAAAGTGAACTGGAAAGGTGAACTCTGAACGGGAAATATACGTGGTAGGTATAATTATAATATACGGAAGCCGAAAGCGACATGCGCGTTTCGGCTTCCAACGCGCAAATGCTCTCGGCTTCTGTATCATTTTGTCTTCGGCGTGCACGATTGTGGTTTCCAGGAGAGACGCAAAAGAATTGCATATATACGGAAAACCCTGGAACCGCACCAGGCCCTCGTGTATAATATCTTTGCACTCCAGCAATTGAGGAAACCCCAATCGTCAGACGATTTTTACGCGGGTTCACGCCGCTGCTGTGATCAAGTTGCAAGTTCTGCCACTAAACGAATCGCTATGGCTCTAACCCGTGGGGTTTTACTTGCTCTAGTTTTGCAGCTTCTCTTTCTCCAATCCACAGTAATTTCTGCTAATGTGGATTGCTTACCGAGCGACAACAACTTTTGCCGTTGCTCTACCAGTAACATTACACTGGTTATCGCCGACATGGGTCTCTCCTTCCCGTGAGTATAAATTAACTATAATTATGAGCATGGCAGCTAAGTATAATTGCTCGCATGTTGAGCAGCAGTCTACACCATTGCCTGGAGTTGTGTCTCAGCTTCAGGAAGGTTTAACAAACGTATTAAAAAAAATAGTGACTATAATTATATAATAGTCTTGCCCCTTAGCCCAAAACTGTATAATATATACTCCCTTACTAGCCTTGTGATATCTCACTGAGTCTGTTCTCAATCCATAATCCTACAAGTGGAAAAATCATTTCTTCAAAATGAAAGGGGGATATAGGGATGGCTTGAAGCACCAAAAAGGAAGAAACAAGGGGTCATTACACAGCAAAGATGCACCAAGCTACATGACACCATCCCTATATCTTTGTCTCATAGTAAACTTTACTTATGTGAACTATAATATAACACAAAGATATAGGGATGGTGTCATGCAGCTTGGTGCATCTTTGCTGTGTAATGACCCCTTGTTTCCACTATTTTTCATGCCTTCTGCATTTTCAGTCACTCTGGTGTTCATGGGTGTTATAGAGATAACTGTTGAAAGCAGAAGCTAATGTACCTGAAGTAGGGTGTATGCGTAGTGTCTCCAACAACGATGCAATTAGGTTGTGGCACATATGGTGGCGTGGTTTCGTAGGCAGGCTCACTGATGCTGAGTTAGCAGCAAATGGCGTTGTCCAGTGACTACTGTGGAAGAGCTCAACGATCTACCGTAGTGACTTGCAGCAAGAAACAAGCGATCGCTTGATATGCGTGCACACCTCCGGCAAATTTGGAGACGTTCTGTGAAAAAATCAACGCTTCAACTGCTTCCTGTAAGGAGCTAGCGGGTCTGAAGAAGAAGAAGAAGAATAATATGATGATGATGACACGAAAATCGCGAAATCGCGTAAGTGCGAATTCTCTCGTGGGGAACTGAGGGCACGTAGGAAGTCTTGGGGCATGTGTATAGCTAGGTATTGGCCTCTAGATTATTGCTAGTGAGTTTGAAGCCATGGTGAGTCATTGTCGCTGAGTACGTAGATCACGTGAGATTTCACTCGTGTCATCCCTATATAGAGCGTCTACCGACGCTCTGATATACACACAGCTTTAGAGATTGAAAGTCATTTATTTATGTCAGTCAATTCCAGTATTATAGGAGATTCCTGTGTATGTGATAGTATGATCCTTTGATCCTACATTGATCAAACTGCTCCTAGGGCACTCACTTTTCAAAATAATGGAATATTCAACATCACCTATACGCCATGTCTTGTTCAACTATGTGGAGTAAGTATTACTATTAAAGGAATAGTGTTGGGAATGGTTGGGATAAGTGCCACTTGAGAAGTCAAGTTATCAAGACAGCAACATGCTGGACAACATCAAACAAAATGTTTCCTGGTTAGCTCTAATGCTTGTATAAACAGCTAGGTGAAAACTACATTGATTATATAGCTGGCTGAACAAGCCGCTATCTGCGTCCCTGTGTATATATACATAATGAAGCTAAAACTTCCAATGCATATAGTATACAGTGGAAAAGAGATGCATTTTGTCCCTTGTATATAGAGCGATCTCCTCTATCTTGGAGGTCAAACATTGGTTCAAACAAGTAGAGGGGTCTTCCCTATCTCAGAGGGTCCCTTATCGATGGTTCCACTGTATAATTATATTACCTGCTCTTGCATAAGCCTTTTGTGTTCTCTACAAATTAAAGGTTTGGTATGTTCAGCTTGCACGTGCCCTGATGGATATTTCTACTCTTATATCACAGAGGAATGTATACGTGAGTACTTTGGTGTTTAATAACAGAATATAGAAATAATCAGCCCTGGATTCAGTGTACCAGTATGAGCCAACTATTCTAGAAGGATGTGATCCTGACAGGAATGCTGAATACCGCACTCATATCGAGGCCGAAATCGAGGCCTTGCTAAATGAGTATTTTGAGAATTCTCAATGAGCAAAGAAAATGGATTTTGCTGTAAAACATGAATTGATAAGTAGAGAGTCGTAATTGTGATGCTTATGTAGTAAATATTTATTTCCTCTTAGTATTATATACTCTTATTGTTAGGAAAGTAGTATTATAGCCATAATAATTTTTTTATGGACTTATGGAGGCCGCATGGGCCGGTCAGACCACATCGCCTCGCCTACTCAGGTCGCCACGCTGACATGAAGGAGAAGTTTACGGAAAGTTACAGAAGGTCGATATAACTTGGCGAGTGGGAGTCCAACTGCGCATGCGCCCTGGCTGATCCACCAGTGAGAGAACTCAGTTCAGCGGCATTCTCTGCGCTCTTCGATGCCTGACCGAGGCTGTACCAATATCTTCGTGGTTCCAAGGTGCAAGTTGTAAATAGGCTTAGATGGCTAATGAAGTCATTGTGTGCTTGCTCCCACTTGCCAAAAATGCCTTGTATCCGCCTAGTAAGATTTTTGTTCTAAAATGAACTGTGAACTGTGAATGTGAAATAGCAGTAGCTTTCCGCTTCCAACGCAACGCGCACATGCGCACGTAAACGCGCCCACGGCTTCTGTAGAGGTAACTTCGGGCACGGGGTAACACCCGGACATAACTCGCTATTCAGAAACAAGAGAAAGATTCAGTCACTTGATTACTACATGCCAAAGCGCTAACAAATCTTCCTCGCGTTTTTTTCGCAGCGCAAAATTTCGCGCAACGCCCCATGTCCGGAGTTACCTCCGCGTCAGGAATTACCCCAATGTACCTTATCTGGGCGTGCACGATTGTGGTATAAATCCATGAGAGACGCAAAAAGAGTTGCATACAGGATACCCTCGAACCACCCCAGGCCCACCTGTATATATAACATTCCAGTAATTAAGGGAAACCGCAATCGTTAGACGTTTTTTGCGCGGGTTCGCTGCTGTTGTTGATCTGCAAGTTCTGCCACTAAAGAATCGCTATGGTTCTAACCCGTGGGGTTTTACTTGCTCTAGTTTTGCAGCTTCTTTTTCTCCAATCGACAGTAATTTCTGCTAATGTGGATTGTTTACCGAGCGACAACAACTTTTGCCGTTGCTCTACCAGTAACATTACACTGGATATCGCCGACATGGGTCTCTCCTTCCCGTGAGTATAAATTAACTATAATTATGAGCATGGCAGCTAAGTAAAATTGCTCGCATGTTGAGCAGCAGTCTAAACCATTGTCTGGAGTTGTGTCCCAGCTTCAGGAAGGTTTAAACAAACGTATAAAAAATAGTGGCTGTAATAGTCTTGCCCCTTAGCCCAAAACTGTATTATACTCCCTCCCTATATAGCCTTGTGATATCTCACTGAGTCTGTTCTCAATCCATAATCCTACACACAGCATTAGAGATTGAAAATCATTTATAATTTTATATCAGTCAATTCCAGTATTATAGGAGACTCCTCTGTATGTGATAGTAGCTATCATCGTTTGATCCTACATTGATCAAATTGCTCCTAGGGCACTCACCTTTCAAGATAATGGAAAGTACAGCATCACCTATACGCCATGTCATGTTCAACTATGTGGGAATGACACTAACAGTGCAGTAAGTACTACTAATAAAGGAATAGTGTTGGGAATGGTTGGGTTATAGTGCCACTCCCCAGCCATTGAGAAAGTTATATATATATCATGACAGCATACATGCTGGACAACATCAAACGTAATGTTTCCACAGTTAGCTTTAATGCTTGTATAAACAGCTAGGTGAAGTCTATAGCTTTATTAGCTAGCTGAACAAGTTGCTTTCTGAGTGTCGGTCTATATATACATAATGGAGGAAATGAATTTGTTTCTTAGCTCCAGGTGGAGTTTTACACATTGGCATGGTTGCACATGGTTGTGCCTATCATATACAATTAATTGAGGTTAGGACCAAAAACTATTTTACCTAGCTAGACTAAGTTTTGATTTTGTCTGGTTGGACCACTTTTTTAAAACAACAAAGACCTTTAGGAACTCTGTGTCAAGTGTAAACAAGGACCAAGTTGAACAGATCAGCTCTTAGATAATGTTCTTTTGCCTTGCTACCTCCAACTCTCTTGGGACGCATGCACTGGGTCGCATGCACACCTTTTTGCGTACAATATCTAAACAGAGAATGTTTTCCTTGAATGTATAAAAGACTAGGAGTATAATTATATAGCTACATTACTGTGACCATGCATCACTGCAGTCTCCAATATATACTCTTGAGGGCCTAGAGTGCTTGCGCACCAAAGAGGCATCAGATGTTCATAGCTATGAAATAGCTATACAGACCTGCTCATGTTTATGGTAGCTAACTGTGCACACATTCTGCAGAGGGTTTTTCATTTACTAAGTTGATAACGTTATTTAGCAGACATGCAGCAAGTTATAATAGGAAGAAACCACTACAGCTAAATACATTGACATTGTACACCAGCCCATGAAATAGCTACACAGACCTGCTCATTCGTATGGTAGCTAACTGTGCACACACTCTGCAGAGGGTTTTTCATTCATTTAATCGTCGATAACGTTATTTCCAGCTTTGTCAGTTAAATACGGAAATTATGGAATACTACTCCCTTGGGACTTATAGTAAATTCCAGTGGACCATTACCGACTTCAATCCCCTGGAGTTTATGATCCAATATGATGGCGGTACCGAAGCCTTTGATACCAGAAGGTATGTTCTAAATTTTAAGCACACTAACGTGAACTGAAAGTAATGCAGTATATATGGTTTGTTGTTTATTGTTTTGTTAGATGTAGCTACTGTTCAGCTCCTTCCGTATTTGTGCCCCAAGAGAAAACATCATGGTCGTTTTTCTTGACACACCAACACTGAAAGCCGAGACCAATTTTATGCTCCCTTAAGGGCAACTAGCTACCAACAAGACCATAACCTATAGCAGTTTGTTTTACAGAGGTTTGTAGCCCCCCATTGATCTTGTAAGCAGACTTGTAATTGTCCAGCACAAAAGCACGAAATGTTTCAGTTCCTCCACATATAGCTATACAGAGATAAGGCTGCTGCCCATGACTGGAGAAAAAGAAGAGCATAGGTAGCTAGGGATCCAAGCAGAGTTATGGTGCAAAAACAATTAGGTGTGGAGGGTGTATATAGCTAGCTAGCTACCAGTTTATTGGAAGCCAGGGAAAAGCTATAATAATTCTATATACCTTGAAGAAAGTTATTCTTTACCCCGCAGAAATTCTTTTGTTTATTTCAAGAAAGGAAATAGCCCTACAAACTTTACTTTTGTGAATGAAGAACATCCAGTAATCTATGTAAGTTAGATGGATGTTGGTTAACCCTATATAGGTGCGCATGTGCAGCAAGGGTCGCAGTTGTTTGTCTGTGTGTGCTACTTTGGCATTATTATGAGTGTTACCAATGGCTTAAGAGCTAAAATAAAGAGATATGGCATGGAACCAAGTGAAAAATCGAAATGGCTACTACCTACTTTAGCCTATTCAGCTAATTCAGAAGACAAGATCTAACACTACTACAATGATGCAATTAGAGAAACTGGCTCCGTCATTATTACATGTGGAGGAGTATTATGCACATTTACTACTTATTGAACACATGCATGTGTTTTTTTGGCGGCGAGGGGTTTGCACCTATAATATATAGCTATGCGATTTTCATTTTTCTAGCACTTCAAAGTGTCCGGTTCAGGAGTGAATTCCGTGAAAGGTTAGCAACCTTTGAACCAGGATTGAAATTTAAAAATTCCCCTTCAGGTATCCCCCCACCCACCAATGTCAAAGCGGTCCAAGACGGTCTCACTAGCATCATTGTGTCGTGGACTCTGTCCAGTAATGCCACTGGGTACAGGATCTACTATGACAGCAGTGGAGGTCACGGTGGGTTTGAGGATGTCACCAATGGTTCTACTGACAACTACACTCTGGAAGGTCTTCAGACTGAGACGCACTATACCATTTTGATTATGGCCACCTCTGAAGATCACCCTCCAAGCACTCTTGTGGAGCTGAATATCTATTTGAGTAAAAACGCTATTATTGTGTTCTTACTCATGTGCATGTTGATATTATTGGGATTTTGTTAGTCTCACCTCCAGGGAAGATACTATTGGCTGTGCTATCTGTAACCCCTACCTCAATTTCACTCTCATGGAGTGTTGGAAGTGGCTCGGTGATGGGTTGGGAGGTATTTTGGAGAGATAGTAATGGGAATGTGACTGAAAACACTAGTGGAAGTCTCAGTGGTACCAACTATACCATTAATGACTTGCTAACCACTACTTCGTACAGTGTTAGAGTCAGAGCCGTTAATGTGGTTGGTACAACAGAAAGTCCTCATATCATTATCGTAACTTCAAACTTCTCTAACGTAAACATGCCTTCCACATCATGCTCTGGAATAGACGACAATGTGGCATCTATCACAACGGGAGCAGTGGGGGTGGTGTTATTGCTACTGCTTGCATTATCAGTATCTGTTAATGTTGTTGTGGTACTCAAGAGAAGTAACAGAGCCCATCCCTGCACGTCAGACAAAACAAGGTACGTCATTTTTGTTAATGAAATAATTATGATGAAATTTTTGGGTTTTAATAAAGGAGTGATGCAGTTCAAGTCTCGGGATCAAACAACGGTGATTTGCAAGTAAACATCGCAGAAGAACTAATATACGCGTAGGTATTCAATTTTTAATTAAATTTCATTATAATTGTGTCTTTTATCACTGCAGGAGTCCGTATGATATTACTGAAAATGAATCGTACAATATTATAGCAAAACTATAGCTAGCTACCTCATCACTCCATTTCTTAATAACATGCTCAAGTAGAAGTGTGTTCTTTATGTTGCACATATGTATGGTAGACTCAAGAACTGCAGCCATTTTATTAGTGGTGAATTTTTACTGATTCTGATTAAAAGATGCTAGGGGAACTTTTGCTCTGACCCACAATAATAATATAGCACCATTGAGATGAGGGTTATCTTATCGTTGAGTATAATATATTAAGGGGGACCACCAATGTAGATCCGAAGACGGTAGCAGCCCTCGGCGACTCCGCCCCACACAGGGCTATATTACCCTCTCCGACGTGCCTTTCCAGGTCAACTTCGACGGAGTCGCTTCGGCAGTATGACACTTGCCGGCACTCATCCAGGCAGTCGGCGAGGGTACGCTGTGCGTCGGCAGTATGACACTTGCCTGAAGCATGTGAGTCTGACTCATGCTAGCATGCAGCATTTGATAATGAACTCAAAAATTGTGGGGGTAAAAACGCCAACAGGTATTTTGATATGAGCTAGCTACAACCACAAAAAATAAAAGCATTATCAGCGTGTGGCACTGTTATGGTGGTCAGCCTTCCACTTGTGACACAAGCAAAAATAAACAAAGAAAGGGGCATGTGTCCATGATGGGGCAGCATTGCTTCACTGGATTTAGATCTCGTTAGTCAATTTGGTGATCAACAAACACACTGGCATTAGCTCCAATGGTGAATGGATGCTGGTTGCTACTTGAGAACAGGTTCCAGCATATGATGGTGTCACTAGCATTGTGAGGATATAGTTTCAAATTTTAGAAATGTTTATTAGTATGATTACAGACAAACACATTCAAAGGAATGTTAGTCACGGATTTCACCAGGTCTTTTGCTGTGTTCACGTATTATTGTGGCCACCTGGACTATTCTAATGGAGCTACAATTGGATTCTCCAGTAGGGATGGTCTCTTTGCTAACCATCCGGCTACCCAGACAGATTCAGCCCAGTCCATTGCCTGTCTGAGTATTTTGAGAATTCTCAACGAGCAAAGACAATCCATTTTACTATAAAACTTGAATTGATAAGTAAGTTAAAGGTGAACTCGAAAGGTGAACTCTGAACGGGAAATATACGTGGTAGGTATATATACGGAAGCTGAAAGCGACATGCGCGTTTCGGCTTCCAACGCGCATATGCGCACGTGAACGCGCAAATGCTCTCGGCTTCCGTATCATTTTGTCTTCGGCGTGCACGATTGTGGTTTCCAGGAGAGACGCAAAAGAATTGCATATATACGGAAAACCCTGGAACCACACCTGTCCATCTGTATAATATCTTTGCACTCCAGCAATTGAGGAAACCCCAATCGTCAGACGATTTTTACGCGGGTTCACGCCGCTGCTGTGATCAAGTTGCAAGTTCTGCCACTAAACGAATCGCTATGGCTCTAACCCGTGGGGTTTTACTTGCTCTAGTTTTGCAGCTTCTCTTTCTCCAATCCACAGTAATTTCTGCTAATGTGGATTGTTTACCGAGCGACAACAACTTTTGCCGTTGCTCTACCAGTAACATTACACTGGATATCTCCAATATGGGACTCTCCTTCCCGTGAGTATTAAATTTACTATCATAACTATGAGCATGGCAGCTAAGTAAAATTGCTCGCATGTAGAGCAGCAGTCTAAACCATTGCCTGGAGTTGTGTCTCAGCTTCAGGAAGGTCTAACAAACGTAAATAATAGCTACTATAATAGTCTTTCCCCTTAGCCCAAAACTGTATAATATATTCTCCCTCACTATAGCCTTGCGATATCTCACTGAGTCTGGTTTCAATCCATAATCCTACACACAGCTTTAGAGTTTGAAAGTCATTTATTTATGTCAGTCAATTCCAGTACTATAGGAGACTCCTCTGTATGTGATAGTATCATCTTTCCCCCTACATTGATCAAACTTTCCTAGGGCACTCACCTTTCAAGATAATGGAAAGTACAACATCACCTATACTCCATGTTATGTTCAACTATGTGGGAATGACACTAACAGTGCAGTAAGTACTTGGGTTTTAGTGCCACTCCCAAGCCATTGAGAAAGTCAAATTATATATCATGACAGCATACATGCTGGACAACATCAAATGTAATGTTTCTTCAGTTAGCTCTAATGCTTGTATAAACAGCTAGGTGAATTCTAGCTTTATTAGCTAGCTGAACAAGCTGCTTTCTGGGTCTCGGTCTATACATAATAGAGGAAATTTATTTGTTTCTTAGCTCCATGTGGAGTTTTACACATTGGCATGGTTGGACATGGTTTTGCCTATTATATAATTAATTGAAGTTAGGACCAAAAACTGTTGACCAAGGCTAAGTTTTGATTTTGTCTGGTTGTACCATTTTTAAAGATCTTTAGGAACACTGTGTCATGCACCCTCAAGTGTAAACATTGACCAAGTGAACAGATCAGCTCTTAGATAATGTTCTTTTTCTATTTACCTCCAACTCTCATGGGACGCATGCACTGGGTCACATGCACACCTTTTTCCGTGCAATATCTAAACAGAAAATGTTTTCCTTGAATGTATAAAGACTAGGATGTGACCATGCATGACTGAAGTCTTCAATACTCTTGAGGCCTGCAGAGGGTTATTTCATCCGTTGATAATGTTATTTCCAGCTTTGTCAGTTAGATACGGAAATTATGGCATACTACTCCCTTGGGACTTATACTAACTTCCAATGGACCATTACTGACTTCAATCCCCTGGAGTTTATGATCCAATATGATGGCGGTACCGAAGCCTCTGCTGCCAGAAGGCACACTAATGTGAACTGAAGGTAATGCAGTATATATGGTTTGTTGTTTATTTTTTTTGTTAGATGTAGCTACTGTTCTGCTCCTTCAGTGTTTGTGCCCCAAGATAAAACATCACGGTCGTTTTTCTTGACATACCAAGACTGAAAGCCGAGACCAATTTTATGCTCCCTTAAGGGCAACTATAGTTACCAACAAGACCATAACCTACAGCAGTTAATAAAGTATGTTACAGAGGTTTGTAGCCCCCCCCATTGGTCTTGTAAACAGACTTGTATATAACTGTCCAGCACAAAAGCACGAAATGTTTCAGTTCCTCCACATGTAGCAGTTGATTGAAATCTAAGGCTGCTGACCATGACGATAGAAAAAGAAGAGCATAGCTAGGTAGCTAGGGATCCAAGCAGTGTTATGGTGCAAGAACCTAAAATTACTGTGTGCAGGGTATCTAGCTACAAGTTCATAAGGCAGAGAAAAGCTAAAATAATATTCTACCTAGCAGAAAGTTATTTTTGACCCTGCAGAAAGTTATTCTTTACCCTGCAGAAAATCTTTTGTTTATTTCAAGAAAGGAAATGGCCCTACAAACTTTACTTTTGTGAATGAAGAACATCCGGTAATCTATGTAAGTCAGATGGATGTTGTTGTTAACCCCATATAGGTGTGCATGTGCAGCAAGGGTCGCAGTTGTTTGTCTGTCTGTGTGCTACTTTGGC